TCTCTTACAAAAAAAAATCATTAAAAACAAAACATTTTGTGGCCAAAGTCGTGAAAGGCGAATGTTTGACATTGCTTGCAAAGCCAGTGAAGGAAAATGGATCAACTCTATCTATAGCTTACTTTGTTTCCAGGAAGAAATTTTTCATAAGTTTCTCTTTAAAGTTCAAGGCAAAGGCACAGATAAAATAAACTCGATCACATGTGAATGATTTCACATCTTTAGATTGTACTTCCAAGCAAATTTCCATGTTGTTTATGTCCAAATTTTCTTCATCTTGATTCAAATGTGGGTAATTCATGGGGGAAAAAAGTTTTTGTTACAAAGACTCAAAAGCTTTATGAGCAAAATTAGGGGAAATTGTGTTTTATTAAGTTAGATTTGAGTAACTGTTGAGAAGTTTCCCAAATTGAGTTTCCTTATAGATGTGATTAAGCCTGGCATGTGTGCATTTGGCTCATTCTTAAAACAAGCAAATCAACAAAACTTTTATTATGGAAAATTGTAAACAGGCAAGTTTTAAAAAGGAAGTCTCATCTGTCTGTCATACAGATGTTATTTCTATCATTTCAATGACAAACTTGTTCCCTTTCTAACTGCTCAACACCCACCTCCATCCCTTCTGTGTTATTTTTAAGCAAATCAACTCAGTACCTTCTTGACAGGGCCCACTAGTTGCTATCTGTATCAGTGTATTTTCCATTGCTATAACAAGATACCTGAGGCTGGGAACTTTATTATAAAGAAATTTTAAAAAGCCTTACTTAGTTCATACTTTTGGAGACCAAAAATCCAAGCAGTGTGGCACCAGCTCTGAAGAGGGGATCTTTCCCTGTATCCTGTCATGACAGATGACATCATGGTAAAGAGGGAGTTCATGTTGCCAGAGAGATGGGGGAGGAAGGAGCCAGTCTTGCTTGCCTTTTCGTAACAGCCCTCTCCATAGAACTAACCGTAGACCTATGGGAATCATGTTCATTTGTCCCAAGAGCATCACCCTCAATGACCCAGTTCTTCCTACTACTGCCCACCACCCCCCAGTACTGCCAGCCATGACCCGTGGGGACAGACGACATCTAAGCCGTAGCACCCTCCCAGGTGGGCAGGACAGCCACGTTGCTGTGCTATCAGTGATGTCAGCCCATCTTCTGGTAATGGTGACTCTCTGCAGACATGACCCAGGACCTTCGCTGAGCTGCCTGTATTCCTGAACATGTTTTCCTTTTTGTAGTACCGGGGATGGAGCCCAGGGGCTGAAGCTTGCCAGGCAAGCACTCTACCACTGAGCCGCAGCCCAGACCCAAGACATCGGCTCTCATATGTATTTTTGAAAATCCCAAATTGGAGTTTCAAATGTAGGAGCAAAATATTTCAGGACCTGAATGTGCATACGAATGAGTAGTTGTATAAAATCCTGGAAGATGGCACCCTGCTTCCGAAGAGGCGGACAGCAGAAGGTCGCCCACTGTGGTGCTCTAGTTTGGTTATTATTAATATTAATCCTCTCTGTTCATGTTCCTGCCTTTGGTTGGAGGGGAGGAGGTCCTGACTGGGAAAGGGGTCTGGGAAGCTCTCTCCAGAACGCCGTCTTTCACAATTTGTTGTTGGGCCGACCACTGGTCCCCCACGCCCACATGGCCCCATGTCTTCCCCCCTCTCCTGCTCACTAGATTGAGCTGGGCCTGTGGCTGCCCGGGTGGGGCCATGGGGCTCCAATTCTTGGGGATGCCCTGAGCAGCCATGGTCTCCCTTACCTACTTAAAAGAAGACGCACCCCTCTTCCCCCCCAAAGCAGAGACGCAACCCTGCGCCCGTGTTTGGGCCCAGAGAGTGACAGCGCGGGGGAAGGTGGCAGAACTGAGTCCCAGGTGATCCCCGGATGACCCACAGCCTCGCCCCTACCCAGGAGGAACAGAGAAGCGGCTCTTGGGTAAAGCACTCCCACCCCGACCCTAGTCAGCAAGGGAAGGATTCTTTCTGAATGTTGGCTAGTTTGTGACACCTTTTAATTGATTGTGTCGTCTTTGGATAATTTGGCTTTCCTGTTCTTTTTTTTTTAGTGTCAGCCCCACAGAAGGGAGGAGCAACTCCACAGGCACCCAGAATCGGCTTAGATGTTGGAACTGACCATAGCATAAAGTCTGGGGCAAGGAGTCAAGATTCCCTGCTTCCTGGGGGCTTTCTGGTGAGAGACGGGCAGACACAGGTTGGTCCAGCTGAGGTGGGCTTTAGCTGTTATGGCCCCTAGGAGGCAAAACGGGAGTCTCTGCTGCGGTCAGCTAGCTCAGGTGTGAGGCCAGATGGGGGCAGGGCGGGGGGTGTCGAGACCTGTGAGTGTCCCAATGCAGAAGAAAGTCATCCTCGTAGTTACGATCCTGTATGAACACAGTAATAAGAACTGCCAACCAACCAAGCAGACTCTTCAGACTAGAAAGACCTATTTTGACCATGAGAGAACCCACATTCCAAATACTAGGAAAATACTACTTTCTTACAGCCAGTGTCTAACCCTGAAAGATGTCACCTGCCCACACAGGAGGGAAAGTCACTGAGGCCCGTGACCACGGTACATTTTCTTAGGATGTTTACATGAATTTTAGTCTTGTCAAGAGGTGTTGGGGGTAGGAGGAGGGATGAACCTTACGCTCAAACTTCCAGTGAACGCCCCTAGCTACAGTCAAGTGGCCGCCCTCAGCAGAAGACTCACTGAGGCTGTGTCCCTGTGCTGTGTTCGGTGTTAGATACAGATTGTTACATACACACCTGAAGGCATTCAATCCTGATAGCTTTGCAAAACTTACAAAGCAACTTACAAAATTCTTAAACAATCCTCTGTCAGACCACATGTCACCATTACTCACAAAGCGCTAGAACAATTATGCAAATCATATCCTAGAAATAGCTCTGGGTATCCCATAATTCCTCAAGACAGATATGCAAATGAGGCTGATCGTGACTGTGGGTTCAGAGAATGACACTCACCACGGCTCTGCTGTGCATGTCACTCTGTACCGTGAACGCCTGTGCGGGTCCCTTCCTTTCTCCTCTGTCTGGCACACTGCCAGGCGTGTGGGTCAAACCCAGGAGGAAATGGGAAACAGAAGGGGGTGCGGGTCTTCAATAAGAGGACCAGGGAGACCCTACAGTACTCCTGCACGTCGCACCTGACAGTTCCAGTCCCGATTAGTTAATAAGAGAACATTAGGTTGGCATTGAAACAAATCATTTCCAAAGCCTTCCGAATTGTAGCCCGTGTGCCTCTTCAAGACAGTGAAGCCAGCCCTTGCTCTTTCCAGGTTCAGATAGCGCCTAAGAAACCACACAGACGCACAGTGCCTGGGGGTGGGGCGGCTCGGAGCCTGGGAAGTGTCTGAATGGCTCCCCACCTGTCACAGGGTGGCCACTTACACCTTGATTTTGTAAATGACTAAATGATTCTTCCTAGAACTACCAAGTTAGTAACAGCTTTAATTTACCTGTCTCCTTAATGTGACTGGGAGATAAGATCATTGCATGTTTGCCTTGACGTTACAAAGCAAGCATTCTTTCAGGATTTCTCTGCGTGATTGTAAGTGACTGTAAGACTTCAGGCTTTCAGATGCCAATTTCAAGCTTTATTTACCTGTATACAGGGTGGGTTGGATACCTAGTATCTACTTGGTGTCTGCCGTGGTACCTAGTACCTGCTTAGCTTCCCCCAGATACCTGGAACCTACATAGCTTCCCCCGAGTGAGTGCCTAGTACCTACTTAGTCTCCCCTGGGTACTTCCTACCTGCTTAGTCTCTCCTAGATACCTAGTATCTACTTAGCTTCACCTGGGTAACTAGTACCTACTTGGCCTCTCCTGCCACTTGCCCCCTTTTTCTCGTAATCAAAAGTACACGATAACCCTCTTCTGTGCTGTAAGCTTGCTGTTGCTCCCCTCCTTGGGGAGGGGCCAGGGTGGTCTTCTGAGGGTCACTGTTGATTTCTGTTCAGCTCTGACAGCCCCTTGGCTGGTTCTCCCCACAGCAAGACTGGATGTGACACACTTCCTCTGTTAAAAGGACCATACTCCTTACTGGCACTTGGACATTTGGGTAAAACTAGAACAGAAAACTTGGAGGAGAAAATGGTGTGCTTTTATTTCACTTAGAGAAATGTATTTTTAAATAGATTCCAGAGTGAGGAGAGAGAGCAGAGGGAGGCAGAAACATGTAAGAACTCAGGAGGAGGGGAAGATGGAACGGGGACCATTTTTGTTCTGGTTTTGTGGTTTTTCCTTCTCCCTCAGTCGGTAAGTGGAGATGCACTGCCCAGCACCCAGTACAGACAGCGGATCTCCTTATCCTGCGGCCCTGTCTTGGTCCGTCTCTGGGTGGGCGTCTGTCTTGCTCTGTGGTTCTGGGTGTCTCTGCCAAGTTCCTCCAATTAACTGGCTGCCTCATCAGCAAGAAAACTGGCCCCTCCTCTCCGCGGGTCCTTCCTCACGGCCTGACATGGCTGCAGCCTTCCAGTCCGGCGGCCATCTGTGACGGGACAGGACAGCTGGATTCCTTCCGACACTTTTCCTGATTCCTGCAATAGATGGGTGATCTCAGAAAGTTTAAGCACCTACGGATCAAAACTGTGAAGTGCAATTAAACAGGACTGTCCTCGTCTTAACTAATAAATCACGTCCAACCCTTCTCGTTATTCCCAGAGCCAGGACGATGCACCGCGGGCAGCACGACCTGGGAACTAGAAACATGAGGGAAGTGTCTAACTTTTTTAACTGTGTGAAGGCAGTTCCAGGACATTTCAGGGGTGGAGGGAGAGTCATGTCAGGTACTGTAGCTACTGGTCCCTCCATAGGTTAGTCAGGCTCTCATTGCTGTGACTGAAAGACCTGACGAGAAGAATTTAGAGGAGGAAATGTTCATCGATGGCTCGTGGTTTCAGAGTCTCAATCCATAAATGGCCAGCTCCGAGCTCTGGGCCCCAGGTGAAGCCGAACATCATGGCGTCAGGGAGTCAAGGAGGAAAGCAGCTCAGGACTTGGCCTCCAGGAAGCAGAGGGTGGGGGAATGTTCTGCTCACCCGGGAGCAAATATAAACCCCACAGGCATGCCCCAGTGACCTGCCTCCTAGCCACACCCTGCCTGCCCACAGCCACCACCTGGCCACTCCCCATCGGGGATTAATGCACTGATTAGTTTAAGACTCTCCCAACCCAATCATCTCACCTCTCAACCTTCCCGCACAGCCTCCCACATGACCTTTTGGGTGATATCACCTATTCAAACCATGGTGTTTCAGATAACAGCCTGCCTAAATATTAATCGCTGAAACAATAGTAGTTTTATCTCAAAGCCATTGGTCTAGAAGTATGAGGTTGGGTCTCTGGTTACAGAGCCAGAATCTTAAAATAGGCGCCCACACTTCTCTTTCTGCCCTGTTAGGTTCAGTGTCTCTCTGTGTGGTTTCAGGGTGGCTGCTGAAAAAAATCACACCTTCACCCAAGAACATCCAAAAGGCAAAGAAAGAGGGAAAGAAGGTTCTTCAGGGGCTAGATTAGAACCCCACAGTTTTGTCCAAACTGGGGAAAAGCAGACAGAGCCCCTTGGTCTTGGATCAAGTGTTTTCTTTTTAACCTCCTTTGTACTCCTGTAGCAGGCAAGAAGCGGCACAAAGAGATAAGGGTACACAGGTGGTGAAGAGGGTTCCCGGGCCTCTCTTGCCTCTCAGAAAGAGGGTCCTGGAGGCCTGGGGTCATGGCAGCCCATGGGGGGCGAATCAGGTGCCAGGTGAATGCAGAACAGTGTTTAAGGCAGCTGCACATTTTTTTTAGTCCTGAACACCTTAAGATTCACACAAGTTGAAATGCTGGTCAGACAGTAGGTCTGCGGCTCTGTCTCTCATGGCACTCGGAGCTAAACGACTGATGTGGTGCCTTGACCGTCCATTAGAGACTGGGATAGTTTTGCTCTCTGTAGGGGCTGGGTGTGCACCCACTATGTGCAGCTCACCATCTGCAAGTTGAGCACACACGTGGGGAGCAGCAGCAACGGTGGACGTAAGGAACCCTAAAGAAAGGCCATGGTACAGCTCAGTCTGCTCACAACACTGCCTGCCGGCAGCTTGGGTACAGGAGCCAGCAGTGTGCGCCAGGGGCAGGCCCTCCTGGGGAAGCCCCGGGAAGTGAGGGAGCCCAGAAGAGCCAGGTGGGGCCAGGAGGCTTGCCAAGGTCTTGGACCAGCATCCAGCCAGACCCAGTGTCCACCAGGGGCTTGGTGGCGTAGACTGGTCTGCCCTCACCATCGCAGCCATTGCTTGTCGTGAAGGGTGGCGGTGGGGAACCCCCAGGCAGGGGGTGATCAGGCTCTCGGGCGAGCAGGGACAGCTTGCACAGAGAGAGAGGCACAGGGCCCGACCATGTGACCAGGCTTCCAGTCAACTCCACAGGCCACGGGAAGGCAGTGGACCCGTCCTCCAACCTGATAACAGACCCACCTGCAGAGCTGCACCCCAAGGCAGCCACAGAAAGTGGAACCTATCACCTTGTAGGGGGCAGGGATCAGACTGTTGGGGGCCAATGCCAAGACCAAAGGCTTGGCAGAATAATTATTGTCTTAGAGAGAGAGATAGAGAGAGATAGTTTAATAAAAGGGCAGAAAGGGAGGGAGAGAAGGAAAGAAAAATGAGACAAATAGGACACAACTGACAAGATTTGACAAGGCTGAGTAGTAGATAACAGATCATGGATTGCTACATGGCTTCCTGGTTTTGCTTGAAATGTCTTGTCTTTTAAAACCTGAACACAATATGATTTAAGTCAATGAGTAAATTCACACCCACCCACCCTCCCCCCCCCACACACACACCCTGAACATACCAGGTATACGCTTTAAAAGATCAAGTCTTTCTGCAACGCTATTTAATATAAGGTATTAAATGCCTAAAAGTACTCATTTTAAACCAAATAATTGTACACCAGGACATGCAGATGAAGATTTATTCATAGGCTTCTCTCTTTTTTTTTTTTCAAATGTAATGGATCACTTATTTATCTCACTCTAGAGGAAAGGCATATGCTAAGTTAACTTCCAAATAAACAAGCTATTTTGACATATTTAGATACATGGCCTGTCCCGAGACAGCAGGCAGAGGCTTCCAGACACAACCGACGTTTCCTTGGTGACTTCTGAGTACTGTAATCAGCAACCACAGTGCACACTGGTAGACTCACTGGTCCTGACAGTGGCTGAGGTTGGGGGCATATTTCCTCCTGGCTCGGCTTTTTCCTGGAAAGTTCATTTCCCTGTCTCTCAACTCTTTCTTCTTCCCTCACCTTTGGCCGCTATTTCTTGCTGCTCTCCACCAAATTCTCACTAAAAAACTTGCCTTCTCCTGTCTAATCAGATTTTTTTATATGTTAAAACCCCCAAGGTAACCGAGTTGGGACACAGGCTGTCTAAAGGAGATCCCATCTGCCCGAAGCCCAGAGGTGGTCCCCGCCATCCAAGGAGCTGGCTCACAGTGCTCCTCCTAGGTCCCCCCTCAGCACTCCCCAGCAAGAAGCCTGGATTGCTCATGTCCTGAAGCTATTTGGAAAAGCAAGGCCAGGGAGCATCGTCCTAGGACAGTCTGTGACAGCTGATCCCTGTGCCGTACCAGGTACTGTCTTCATGGGGACTCGGTGGCATTGATGAACAGGGGTCACTGGGGTGGGTGGAGGTTTAGATGGGCAGAGATTTACTTCACAGGACACTCTGCCTCTGGGTTGGTCCTGATGTCTGAAGAATGGCCCCCGGATGATTGAGGGCCACCTGGACTTGTGACACGGGAGACATTAGGGGTAATCATTATCACATTTTCCAAACATGACCGTCTTCACAGCCTGACTTGACTTTGGCAAACAAAATAAGACAGTGCTGCCCATTGTGAATACACTGGCCAATCCCCATATCACTTATTCCTTTTAGACTAAAGATTTAATCATTAGCACTACATTCAGAATAAATCCCAGTATATTTGTCGTGCTCATTTTAAAAATTTTTATTATTTTTATCAAAATGATTGCTTTGCTCATACACATTTTCATTTATTATTTATCAGCGTACTCTTAATGTTTTTCCGGTGCGGGAGATGGAACAGAGGGCTGAGCAAAACCCCAGCCCGTGCTTTTCATTTGTGAAAGAGTTTTAAAGCATTATATATGTTTACTATTTCTTCCCTCTAAAGAGAAATGGTACAGAATTTTACCTTGCACTTTGAAGTCAAAAGGTCTCCAGATGTGTTGGAAGGCTGATGCTCAAACTAGGAAAACTGAAACTAGCAACAGACAATACAAGACTTGTAGTAGTACCAATCCCAGCCTCAAAGAACACCACCACCACTCCAGAGTCAAAATACTGGTATATTCATGTAATGCAAAGAGAAATACAGATATAAACCCTCAAAACGGAAGATACATTGATAAAAACGTAGCAGTTTAAGCGAAAAATATTATACAGTACTTGCAGAATGTTTTCTTCCAGTTTTAAATTACATCTAACAGAGAAATAATATTTAAAATGACAATTCTGGTTATTAATTGAAAATAACCATCAGAATAACAGCACAGCTTAACCTAGCAAACACTAAGAAAACGCTCATCTCTTAGAAGTAGTGGAGCATTGTGTTTCATTCATTTATTTCATGAACAACAGAACAATCTTCAAAGTGGAAATTAGTTTCCTAAGACAGAATAAAACCCGGCTTCTCAAAGCACAAGCCATTTCCATAAAAGTATCTCAACTTTTTTGTTGGCAAAAAATACCCAAATGATTTACTTGGCTTCCAGAGCCCCACCATCCTTGAGCCACAATGGATACATACAAAAGCATGCAACACTGTATTTTCTCCACACCTTCACTAACCAAAACACTTTGTACTCTTTTGAAAGTTACAATGTCACTGAGACGTTTCCATTCAAGGTTGATATAATACAGAGAGCAGCTGCGGCTGCTGTGTATTTAGTATAAACTAGGAACCAAGTCCTTACTTACTGCTTTAAAAAAAAAAAAAAAACACTGCCTACTGACTCCGATTTCTGTCAAGTTCAATGTCAACATTGAACTAAATTCTTAAGCTTTGGAAGAACCCCGCTGCGCAACTGACGCTAAGCTGGCAGTCCAGACAGCCCTTAGGTCACCTTTCCCCCTTCCTCCTACTTCCAACTGAAGACACCCAAGGAAGCCGACTCGTGAAGCCCCTCACCTCTGTCTACCTCACTGCCATCTGCGATGCCACTTGAGGTTGTCAAAAATAGCTTCTGTAGAAAACTGGCCGTGGTCTTTAGGAAAATGCATGAAGAAAATCAGCCTTTATTGGAAAAAAAAATGCAGACGTGAAAGAAAAGTCAGAACCAGTACAAAAGGACTGCAGGGCTGTCCCAGAAAGAAAGGACGTTGAGGAGGACGAGTGTGCGGAGTTGCCCCTCCCCCGCCCCCCAAACAGGAGTCTGTACAATCCAAGTGGGTGTCCACTTTGAGAGTCGTTTGGAAGGCAGCTTCGAAAATTAAAAAAGGGGATCGGACAGGACGGGGAGAAGCGAGGTCACTGTCCAAGCCGAAGGGGATGCTGGGTTGGGTCAGGGATGCAGAGGCGGGGAGTCCCTCACAAGCCGATGCCCTTCAAGTCGCAGGGGAGGGTGGCCTGCGTGGTCTGGGGGCTCTGACAGCAGGGGAACTGGGCCCTGAAGCAGTCTCTCAGCTCCCTGTTGAAGAGGAAGCACACCACCGGGTTGATGCCGGCCTGCGCGAAGGTGAGCCACACGGAGGCCGTCAGGTAGGCCTGCGGGACGGCGCCGGGCCGCACCAGCACGCGCAGGTAGCTGGCCACGACGTAGGGCCCCCAGAGCAGCAGGAAGAGCAGCGTGACGGCATAGAACATCTTGCACAGCCTCTTCTCGGTCTTGAACTCCTCCAGCACGAGGAGGCGGCGCGCGCCGCGGCCGGGCCCCGCGGGCCGGATGCCCACCAGCGCGGGCGGCGTGGGCCCGCGGCCGAAGCCCGCCGTCCAGTTGGCGGCCGCCTGGCCGGTGGCGCCGGGGCCGTGGAAGGTCCAGTCGTGGCTGACAGCAGGCACGAGGCGCGCGGGCCGCATCTTGCGGCGGTCGTGGATGAAGAAGAGCAGGCGGAGGTAGACCAGGTGCGTGGCGCCCACCACCACGGCCAGCAGCAGCAGGAAGCCCAGCGCACCGGGGGCGCCATCGGGCCGCTGCTCCAGGGCACACGGCGCGTCCTCG